TTACCATAAACTATGTGACTATCAAAATAGTATTAAGTGCCATAAAAAAGCTATTGATGTGTACAAACAACTGAATGATGAAGAAAGATTAGGGGTTTGTTATGGAAACATGTCATTATCATATCAGGAGCAAGGAAAGTACCATGATGCAATTCGTCTATTAGAGGAGAGTCTCAGGATAAGTGTTAAAATTGGAAGAAAAGAAAACCAGGCGGGTGACTTACTTAATTTGGGGTCAATATACACAACGCTGAATGATTATGATAAGGCCATCAAGATGTTCCAGAAAAGTCTTGCTATCAGTATAGAGATCGGTAATAAAGGTCTTCAAGCAAAATGTTATGGTAGCCAGGGAAATGTTTTGCTTGATTATTGTAACAAATATTCAGAAGCCATCGTGTATTGTCAGGAATGCTTAGACATTTCAAAAGAAATCGATGATAAACAATCACAATCGGTCGCCTTAGTAAACATTGGCAAATGCTTATATGGATTACATCGACACGAAGAGGCGAATAAAAACTACGACATTAGTCTTACTATTGCTAAAGAACTAAATGACAAAGGTCTTGAGGCAAGTATTTATCGTTCTATGGCTGTAAACAATATAATCAGAAATCATTTTCAAACTGCATTAAGTTTATCGAAGAAATGCCTTGACATCGCTTCAACTATCGGCAATAAAGAACTTGAAGGTGAAGCTTGTTATCTTCTGGGTCGAATATACTATTCATTAAACAAAGAAAGCCAAGGACATCAAGAATGTCATAATACTGATGATAATATAGCTAAATCAGAAGAATACTTGAAAAAAGCTGTTGTTGTTTTGACTTTTTGTTCCTACATCTCCATCAACAAGATGATTTCAAAGTCTCCATATTTGATACATTCAATGAAAACTACAAGCTACTCACCACCGTTCTAATCGAAACAAGGCAGCTACATGAGGCTCTGTTGGTATCTGATGGTGGACGAGCACGTGCTTTAGGAGATCTCTTATTCTTCAAATACGGTATGATTGAAAAAGAAATGTCATTGCCTAAGCCACTAACCTATCCTGATGTGGAGGCGATCTTCTTTAAAGATGTCTTCTCGATGCTGCATTACAGCTTACTAAGCGACAGTTTGGCTGTGTGGGTTTTAGCTAAAGACTCACTGATGTTCAGAGAAACTGAAAAGGAACAATTTGATTCTGCCATAGAAACATTGACTGAAGAAAAGAAAGATGGCGATGAAAACTCCATGAATCGCTTCTTTGCCGGAACTATTTCAAAAGCATATGAAATGATGAAAATCAAAGAAAGCGTTACTTGTGAAAACAGATCACTTGATGATTGCGTTACATCGAAAGATCACGTCACTACAAAAGCTTCTGAATCTCTGTCACGTGATAATGGCACAAGAGAAGAGACCCTCGATAAAGCGTCCAAACCACTTGAAACGTTGTACAATTGTTTAGTTGCACCTGTCCTATCAGACGTACGACACGACGAGATTGTCATAGTACCCCGTGGACCAATGTATAGAGTACCGTTTGCTGCCCTAAGGAATCCCAATACAGGACAGTATCTGTCAGACACCAAACGCATTCGACTTGCACCATCAATAGCAATATTAAAGGCTCTAAATGAATGTCCAGTGGATCATCATAGCCAAAAAGGAGCATTGATTGTAGGAGATCCAAGTGTCGGAGAAGTCATGTTTAGAGGAAAGAAAAGAACGTTTTCACGTTTANGGAGCTCGTTCTGTCGTAGCGTCATTGTGGGCAATCGACGATAGTGTAACTTATAGTTTCATGGTGAGTTTTTACAGTTATCTGACTCGAGGTGAAAGTGTGAGTGTAAGTCTTCATAAAGCCATGCATGATATTAGAAAAGAAGGCCACAGGGATCCCAAGTACTGGGCTCCTTTTTTCTTGATCGGCGATGATGTCATCCTGAATTTGAGGTAAAAAGTGTCTTACTTTTAATGACTCTTTCATGCAATCTAATGCTGACAGTCAACTTTTAAATATGCATTTCACTTGATTTTTATAGTATTATTTCAATAAGTCTAATCATTCTCGCGAATATTCCATTTTTTTCTTTGATGTCGATTTTACCGTCATACTTTCATAGTTAGATTATTTTGTTTGACAAGTTTTAAGGCTCGTTTACACTTGCGATTTTTGCAGTGCGATTGTCGCGCGACAATCGCCACTTTGCCTCGCGCACCTCAAATCGTAAGTGTAAACAGCACTTCGATTGTCGCGGCGATCGAAAATCGCGACGAGTTGCAGTTAAATTTTCAAGCATGTTCGAAACCCAGGCGATTTTGTCGCGCTACAATCGCGCTGCAAAAATGGCAAGTGTAAACGTGCCTTTAGGCGCAAGCAAGATTGAATGTCGCGCGAAACAAAATTTGACTCGGATAACTGTGACAGTCAAATACACATAAAAGAAAACAAAGCATTTAGAACGTGCTTAGATGTATTAGTGTAATATCTATTTCACAAATTTATTGATTCTAAAATTGGTCCAACAAAGTATTGCTAAATAGAGCAAAATATTGTATATTAGACAACAGAGAAAAAGAGGAATTAACATAATTCAGTACATAGTTGACTATATTGAATGCATTCAACCCGTGAAATAAGATTTGACTATTAAAATGTGATTATGGTCAAAAAGACAAATGAATAATAAAATACAATTTGAGCACACTAAGTTGTAGTAATTATATCTATTTCACAGACTTCATCTGTTTCATGGTTTTAGTGTTTTGCAGTTTACATCTCATTGTAGGTAACAAGAGGCCGTTATGCATGAGCATGCGCGCAACCGCTGCGTTATAACGACCATGGGCTCTAGGATACGGGTAGAATAACATTGTAGTAGCTGCGGAAGCTTCGATTCTGAACATAATTGATGTTTTTACTTATCTTCCACATTTTTCCAAACAAAACCAAGTAGATATATTTACAATGCACACGAATATCTTTCAAACTTTATATAAATTACTGTGAGTCTCGGGCTAGATTTATAACACGAAGCCACTTTGTACCGTTAAAATGTAGTCAATTATTTGTGCACACCTTTAGCAATAATAAATTCCTAAGATGTGAATCGATTGCACTTCAATAGTTCATTTCATAACTTATAATGATACAGCTATAGAACTACACATAGATATTTATGATAACTTGATTCAAACAAGCTCAACTCTTCAGCCAAAAGAATGCTAAATCTGTCGTGAGTGCTCAACAGCACGTACGAATTTGCAGAATTAACACCGTTCCACATTTTTCATAGACAAGAAAACATTATCAAACCATTTGCAAAGCATAAGTCTTGATATTGGTAGCCTTATTCTAATGAGTCCTGGTGGTGTATAAAAGGAAAGTAGTATTTCATGTAACAGTTAATAATATTTAAGCGTAAATATTGTACACTTCAAGAAACTGTCTTTCGAACATTTCGAGGTCGATGTTATTAAACGATGCCTAATTATATTACTACATGTGTACATTTACCATTTACTTCATGACCTGCGTTGAATCYTGRYHAGCAMTMARCAAAAACTGGAATAGTAGTTGCGTATATAAACCACTGCAGCCTCCATATTGTAAACACAAAGTCATTAATATCAACATTTCTTAAATAAGATTTTAAACGGCCCCAATCAGTCCAATAACGCCAGTGTTTTTCCTCGTTGTAGGTTACACTATTTAT